AGATTTTCTACATGATCAGTTCACAATAAAAGACTTGGGGGAGCTCAAATTCTTCTTAGGTCTTGAAGTTGCAAGGTCGGAGGAAGGAATTAATATTTGTCAACGTAAATATACCTTGGATTTACTTCAGGATAATGGTTTTTTGAACAGTAAACCCACTCCAACTCCTATGGTTCCTTCTGTAAAGTTGGTGACAGATGATGGCTCACCTAGAGTTGATTCAACTGCATATCGGCAGCTTGTGGGTAAGCTTTTGTATCTTACCACTATACGGCCAGACATGCTTTGCTGTTCAACAGCTTTTTCAATTTCTTGAAGCTCCTACTCAGATGCATTTACAGGCTGCTCATTAGATCTTGAGATACTTAAAAGGCACACCTGACCAAAGTTTGTTTTATCCTGCGCATAATTCTTTGAAATTGAAAGGTTTTAACGATTCTAATTGGGCCACTTGTCCTGATTCATGAAAATCTGTTACTGACTTTTGTGTCTTTCTCGAAAATGCTCTTATTTCTTGGAAAATAAAAAAACAATCAAATATATATCGGTCTTCCTCTGAAGCAGAATACAGGGTTCTTGCTGCCATCAGTTGTGAGCTGCAATGGCTCCGTTTTTTGCTTACTAATCTGCTTGTAAATTTTTATCCAGCTGTTGTTTTTTGCGATAATCTATCAGTAATAAAAATTATTGAAAATCCAGTTTTTCATGAGTGGACGAAGTATATCGAAATTGATTGTCATCTCTTTCAGCAGAAAGTTATGGAAGGTATCATTCGGTTGCTCTCTGTTTCTTCCTCCCATCAGCTGGCTAACTGTTTCACCAAGCCACTTTCCATTTCAAAGTTTACAGCACTTATATCCAAGCTGGGTATACAGAATTTGTATACTCTAGCTTGAGAGGGGTATTAGAGTATACCAAGGTAAGTAATTTTGTAAATAAAAGGGCTGTAATATTATTTCTGTAAAATTGGGGGTTATTTTGTAAATACACATTAGTTCCATGTATAAATAAAAAAAATATCTTCTGTTTTTTCAGATTCTCGACTCACACACTAGATCTGTCTCAGTGTTTACTGATAGTTGTTTTCTTCATCAACTATGTATTTTGATGAATGTTAGACTGTAATATGCCTTAAGTCGCACTTTATGTCTTTGTATGCTGCCATCTGCTTGACATTTTGTTCTCAAGATCCATTTAACTCCGATGGCTTTCTTGTCTTTAGGAAGATCCATCAATTCCCAAGTATTATTCTTCCAGATTGCTGCAAGTTCCTCTTTTATTGCATTTTTCCATTTTTCCTTTTTTACTGCTTCTTCAGAGGTTGTCGGATCAACACCTGACCAAAGGCTTGTGTGCACTCATAAATTTCGGCCAATGACCTGAATTTTCTGGAAGGAGTTTCATCTTCGGATGAACTTTATTTCTAGAACTTGATGAAGTTGATGAAGATGAGCTAGGTATATTTGGAGGAATTGGCTGCTGTCCAACAGTTGGTGGAGCTTCATTTTCTATTGATATTTTGAATTGAATGTCATCTGATTTCTCATGCCAACTCCAGCTAGCTTCGTCCAATTTAACATTCCTGCTAATAATCACCTTACCAGTCATAGGATTATAAAGCTTATATGTTTTAGATTGAGTATCGTAGCCAACAAAAATACATATCACAGATTCATAGTCAAGTTTGCTGTGATTATAAATCTACCAAACAATAGTCAATACAAACAAATATTTTCAAGTGACTTACCCGGTCTTCTACCACTCCAAGTTTCGAATGGTGTTTAGTTTTGAACTATCTTTATTGGAGACATATTTAATAAATACATAGCAATAACAACACCTTAAGCCTAAAAATAATTTGGCAGCCCTTTTGCTGTCAACAAACTTCTCGTCATTTCGACTATGATACGATTTTTTTGCTCAGCCACTTTGTTTTGCTCTTGTGTATATGTTGCTGTTAGTTCTATTTGCAAACCTTGTTCTTCACGAAATTGGTTAAATTTATGAGATACTAACTCTCTTCTTCTATTGGTGCGAAGTACCTTCATACTTCTTCCACTTTTCTTCTAAGTGAGTGCCTTGAATTTTTTGAAAGTTTCAAAAGTCCCTGACTTGAATTGAAGAAAGTAGACCTAACTCATACGACTATAGTCATCTATAAATGACAAAAAGTAGCGACTCCCACCCAACAATTGTGTTTTCATAAGACCGCATAAATCAGCATACTAAAGTTCAAGACACTCAAATGCCCTTCTAGATTTTCCCATAAGAAATGGTTTTTTACATTGTTTTCCATATATACACCCTTTACATAAATCAAACGACTCAATTCTAGATAGCCCAAATACATTTTTCTTTTGACTTAACAATCTCAAACCGTTTACATTCAAATGCCCAGAATATAAATGCTACAATCTAGACTCACTACCTTTGCTAACAACAAGGGCATGATTTTAAAAACTAGACACCTCAAGTGAAAAAAGTTTATTTGGTGCCATGTATACATTAACAATAACTTGATCTGATTTTTCATCTTTAATCCCACATGACTTGTTATCAAACATAATAAAATGTCCACTATCTATAAGTTGCCCAACACTCAGACAAATTTTGTGATTAATTGAGGATAAAATAAACATTGTGGAGGAGTTTTACATTACCGCTGCCTTTGTTTATTGCCACTGTGCCTTTGCCTTCAACTTCACTTGCTTATCATCAAGAAGTCTTATTTTTATCTTGTATGACTCGTCAAATTTCTTAAACAAATATTTTATTCAAATCATATGATTGGAACATCCGCTGTTCAGAAACCATATATCACTTGAAGTTGCAGTATTATCTTTATATGCCAGGAATAGTTTAACCATTTCATCATCTTATGAACAATTTCAAGTATTTCTTTTCTCCAACATTCAGCCTTTACATGTCTATACCTCTTGCAATTGTAACATTGATTATTGCTATTGTGATTTTTCTGCTTGTAAGTCGTCTGCCCTTGTTCATACCGTCCACCATTTCTTCCTCTACCACAATGTCCTCTGCCATGTCCTCTGTTTGATGCCTTTCTTGAATCATCTTGCTACTCTGATGACTCCTCCATCACTTGAAAGGCCTTTTCATCACTCTTTTCAGTTGTCTTGTTCAATCTTGCCTCATGAGTTTGCAAGGATCCTATTAGTTCATCAAATGAGTACGTGGTCAGGTCTTTTGACTCTCCTATAGCTGCAACTACATGGTCAAATTTTGGAATCAAACTCCGCAATACCTTTGCAACGACTGTCTCATCAATTAGAACTCCTGCATAAGACCTCATCTGATTAACAATTGCAGCTACTCTAGATAAAAAATCTTGCACTGATTCTCCACCTTTTATTTGCAAAGTTTCTAAATCACAACGAAGAGATTGAAGCTTTACTGTGATTACCTTCGACAAGCCTTGGTATGCTACCTGCAAAGTCGTCCATGCTTCTTTGGCTGTATTTGCTGCTGCAATTTTAGAAAAAATGGATTCATGCTTTGCTTGCTAGATGAAAAATAGTGCTTTGGAATCTGTTTTTTAATTTTCTCAAAACCTGGCTTCTTCATCCGGATCAGAATACCTATTCTTAACTAAGTCCCATAAATCTTGAGACTTGGATAAAGTCTTCATTTTGATGCTCCAAAATTTGTAGTTTTTGCCTTTGAAAATTGGAATTGATGGTTGATTAATGCTTATTCCATTGTCGTCAGTTACCATGAACTGTATGCCCAATAACAAACAAATTTGGCTTTGATACCACTTTTGTTGGAGAAGAGAGCTTAGTTGAACTCAAACTTCCTGCAAAGTTGCTGCAGCAGCAAGGAAAAATATAGCATAAGAAAAACGAATGCAGCAGAAACATAGAAAATTAATCAATCATGTAATGAGTATGAACTGCTGCTGGAATTTTCGGTGGAGTAGATAGTTTATTCGGCAACCAAAAATGTCTTTAAATAGGTTTTACAACTCAACTGAAAGCAGGAAAAATAGCAGAGTAATCTGCCATTAACTCAGAAATGTATCACTGCTAACAAAACATCAGAAAGTTTAGCAGATAAAATACTAACATGTAGGATTACTGTCAATTTTGAATCAGCCTTCAATACAGCCCACTCTCACTTGCGTGCATTCTACTTGATATATATTTGTATTAAGCTCTCCTGTGTCTTCAGTATATAAGAGATGGCACAGCTTTAGATTTTACTTAAACCACTATGTTTCTCATCAGGTTTGATTTACACATACACACATAATACATATATCATATATATATATATATATACACCTTTGTGTTTTCACCATTAATGGAGTTGGGAAGTATCGTTCAGTTTCTTAGGCACAAGTGCGTTTTTGTGACTGGTTCAACTGGGTTTTTGGCAAACAGTATAGTCTCTTTACACTCTCTCTTTTTGTCTATTTAATTTGTTGAAGTTGAAAGGTAAACGTGTTTACTTAATCTTAATGCAGGTATGATGTTTCCTTTGGTATTAAAGCATTGGGAGTTAAGCGTGTGTTGGATTTTGCTAAGACGTGTAAAGCTAATGGTGCTTATCCGTGTCTCCACCGCTGAGTACTTCTAAATATATATATATATATAGATATATATAGATATACATATAGATCTACATACTTACATTGTAACACCCAAATTTTTATTATTTTTATTTCTTAATTTATTTTAATTTATTTTAAAATTTTAGTTTAATTTTTTAATATTTAATTTAAAATAATTTAATTTAATTTAATTTAATTTAATAAAAATAATAATAATAATAAAATATGGTAAAATTATTTTTGGGATTTAATTGAAATTGATTTTGGGAAAAATGGGTGAAAATTTAGATTCTGAAGTTGTTTTTGAAAAGAAAATCAGAAATCGGGGGTCAAAACACAATTTAGAAAAGTTGTGCCACGTCAACAGCCCAGTCAGCAGTCCCGGCCGACCAGAACACGCGGGACAGAGCTATGTGGGTGATCCGCGTGCACACGATCGAACGGTCCAGATCTTACGAGTGCGGACGGCCCAGATCTCACGTGCACGGACAGCCCAGATCTCACGCGTGCGGACGATCCAGATTGAATCACGCACGGACGGCCCAGATCGCATCGCGATGGACGACCCATATTTATTTCTATTTTAATCGCGATCGGACGGTCCAACGGCGTCGCGGCGGCTTCCCTCGATTTTTGCCTCCAATTAGGCCCTTTCCGGTTCCCGTTTGATGCAATTTTTATACCACTGTGATCACCGTCCTTTTCTCTATAAGTTTACCAAAGTAAAACATCAAATCGCGACTCACGCCGGAGAAGCCACCGCACCCGAGAGCTCCGCCGCCGGTAAGTCTCGATTTTTCGTGATTTTTTAGCCCACCGAGGGCCCTAAGGTTGTTTTATCGTAGGAACCAATGCAAGTTTGGCCGAATTCGACCGAAAACGGCCAACCCGAGGCAGATCGCCACTGCAGGCAGCGGTGCCGTCGCCGAAGCACGGTGGAGCTACCATGCCGGAATTCTGATGTTAGCTTAAAAGGGGCCATGCGTCTGATTTGAGGTTTTTTGGGACACGTACAGGTACCGGTAGTGCATTTAAGTTTTCTGAAAAAAATTCAGGGAATTTAGGGACAGCCTGTAGGCGCATTATAGAGCCAATTTCAGACCCCCAAAACAAGTAAGGATTTCTCACTCTATTTCCTATCAGGTATTAAAGCTCAATAAATAATAAAACAGCATTTAGTGAATTAATAGATATGTATAATTAATTAAGGTTGCTAATAGAGCCCGAGTTTGATATATTTTCGATCAGTTGCTGTTTTAGTTATTTTACAGTTTTAAATGCATTATGGTATCTGATCTATTTATTTTATGGTTTTGAATGCATGAATCACTATTTACTTCATTATGACTTGATTTTGTGAATCTGATGATATGCCTGCCATGTTAGATGCTCGTTACTGGTTTAAATATTCACGATTATGTGAGAAACAGAAAACTAAAAAAAATAGAAAATGTGTGTAAATTGATAAATGGATAACGTGAAAAGTCTGACTAGATATCCTAGGAGATGGTAGACGGATTGGATCCGTAGGGAACCCTACTGGGAACGTGGTCTCTCATATCGGACGGGGTATAGAGACCTTATGTATTTTGGCGCCCATACCAGACGGGGTATGAGGACGGTCCGTTTCACCCTCATATCGGACCGGGTATTGAGGTTTGTAATTTTGGCGCCCATACCGGACGGGGTATGGGGACGACGCTGGAATCAGATTATTAATGTTAATTATTCACGTGTAGCGGGGACCCCTTATGGATCCCTATGGATACTAGTAGGCTGGTAAAAGAAGAAATTTGTTATTTGATTATTGAAGTACAAAAGTATAACATGTGTTATGTTACAAAGTGTATATGATTTTATGATAGTTATAATGTTATTGTTTTCATATGTTATTTTCACGAGTCTCATCGAGGTAAGTGGACAGTAAAGGTTTTTATCACTAATAAATGAGTTTGTATAAATTATGCTCCATTGGTCGTTTTTGTTTTCTACCTACCTTTTCTTCTGTGACAGTAAGATAGTGTGATGTCTTTACTGGGGTAGTGTAGCTCATTCCTTACTTAACCATTTCAGATCAGGAAGACGTGATTCCCGAGCCCGTTCCGCAGGAAGACGGCGAGTTAGACGCCTAAAGATTTTATAGTTCTATTTATAGTTTTTATTTCGAGTATTTCTTTTAATTAGCTTATTCTTTCATACGTTGAATACGTTTATGGTTATTGTGTAAGGGATGTTAATCAGAATTTTTATTTCGCTTCCGCATTTAAAATTTTTAATACATACATCTTCATTTAAATTTTCGGAGCCGTTACAGTTGGTATTAAAGCTGCATTCCTCGGACTCATCCCTTACACAATAATGCTTAGAGAAATACCCACCGATAAATCGTTACTCAACTCTTCTGTGTGAAATATAGGTGCAAAGAAATGAGGAGAGGAAGACCCCCACTAAACCGAGCAGCCAGGGATGATTCGCTTCAGGAAGATGTGGACAGAATATTTGAGATGCTGGGAAGGATCATGGCCGCCTAGCAAGGTCGAGAGGAGAGAAGGGAGTTACCTGAACCTCCCCCACTACCACGGGTTGAGCCACCGCTACAGCAAGCGGATCCCGAGCCACCCCAGTACGAGCCTGCTCCACCATAGTACCACCCGGCACCACCGCCGCAGTATGAACTGGTGCTCTAGCCACTGTACTGCCCGGCACCGCCACAGTACAATCCGGTGCCCCCACCATTTCAGCAGGTGCCACCACAAGGCCCCCCAGTCTATCCCCAGCCGGGCCCAGTCCCTCTTCCACGGGACTCAGCTCCTTCTTTGATCGACCCAAGCTACATAGAGAGGTATAGGAGGCTGAACCCTTCCACTTTTGCAGGGGGATCCTCTTTCGAAGATGCCCAGTACTGGTTGGCGGAGACTGAGAGAGCCTTCAAGACCTTGGGAGTGGTTCCTGAGCAGAGAGCTGTCATTGCTTCCTACATGCTGATAGGGGAAGCAGGTCGTTGGTGGGAGCTCAAGCAGGCCACCCTGCTTACACCAGCCACTTGGGAGAAGTTCTTAACGGCTTTCCATACGGAGTATCTCAATGAGCACATCCGATACCTGAAGGAGATGGAGTTTGTTCAGCTGGTCCAGGGAAACATGACGGTATCGAAATATGCTCATAAGTTCCTAGAGCTGGGTTGATACTCCCCGGAGACATTGATGGATGAGGGCAGGAAGGCTAGGAGATTCCAGTAGGGCATTCGCCCAAAGATCAAGCAACACTTATTGGTACTGGAGCTCAAGACATACTCAGTCATTCTAGCAAAGGCACAGATTGTGGAGAGGAGTTTCAACACCCGTCCTCAGTCAGCAAGGAGTCACCGACCCTCGGCTCCATCCCGCAGAGCAGCACCTACTGCGCCGGTTCAACCAAATAAGAGGCTCATACCAGTGATCCAGGCCCTTCCTCAGGCTCTAGGGGCAGCACATGGAAAGATCTGCCAGCACTGTGGCAGGGATCAGGGGGACCGACTATGCTACCGCCTCAACAACACCTGTCGCATATGTGGTAGTGCCTAGCATTATGCGAGAGAGTGCCCAAGGAACCAGAACCAAGGAAGACCTCCTTTTCAGGGCAGGGTTTACAACCTCACCCAGCAGGATGCCGACGTCGACTCGGATGTTGTACAGGGTATGTACACTATCTGTGACCATATTACTCATGTTTTATTTGACATTGGTGCATCGCATTCATTTGTTTCACATGTTTTTGCTTCCAAACTTAATGTATCACCTGATAAACTTGATTCATTGTTGTTTGTGTCTACCGCTGGGGGTGAAACACTATTAGAAGAAGTTATCTACAGGGCTTGTGCTGTGGAGATAGCAAGTAGAAAACTGAGTGTAGACTTGATAGGGTTAGACACGGGGGATTTTGATGTAATCTTAGGAATGGATTGGTTAGCAGCGCATCACGCTACCATAGATTGCTTTAACAAGAAGGTTGTATTTAATCCTCCTAATGAGGAGCCATTTGTAAATTAATAAAATCATTTAGTACTTATTCCTTGATGGTAAGTTTTCTTAATTTTTTAGTACCTTAATCTTACTATTTTCTCTAACTAGGTAAGCCCAAGAAGGAAATTTGTATCCAAGAGATTCCGGTAGTCCGAGACTTTTCAGATGTGTTTCCGGATGAACTACTGGGACTGCCAGTGGACAGGGAAGTCGAGTTCACTATAGACTTACAGCCAGACACCCAGCCCATTTCGGTTGCTCCTTACCGCATGAGCCGCATTGAGATGGAAGAGCTGAGGAAACAGATCACTGAATTGCAAGACAGTGGTTTTATTAGACACAGTATGTCCCCTTAGGGTGCCGGAGTCACTTTTGCAAGGAATGGAGATGGAACATTGAGACTGTGTATTGATTACAGATGATTGAACATGGTTACGATCAAGAACAAATATCCCCTTCCCAGAATTGATGACATCTTCGATCAGCTGCAGGGTGCACAGGTCTTCTCTAAAATAGACCTGCGATCAGGTTACCATCAGGTAAAGATAAGAACAGAAGACATCCCCAAGACGGCCTTTTGAACCAAGTACAGACACTATGAGTTCCTAGTCATGCCATTTGGGCTAACCAACGCCCCGGCAATCTTTATGGATCTGATGAACAGGGTCTTCAGAGAGTTCTTGGATCAATTTGTTATCGTGTTCATCGATGACATCTTAGTCTACTCAAAAAGCAGAGAAGAACATGTTCACTATCTTGCCCAAGTTTTGCAGGTCCTCAGAAATAAGAAGTTATATGTAAAGT